CAGGAGCACCTGGGTGTCCATCCTCCCTTCCAGGACCCTCCTCTCCTGCTTCCAGGCCCCTGGAGTTGTGCCAGGAGTGGGGGTTCCTCACACAACTCCTTGTGCTTCCCGGGGGTGGAGGAACCAGCAGCAAAAAAAAAGCTTTTCCAGTGGCAAAACCCACCCAAAACCACTTCCAAAACACTCCCAAAATCATCCCAGGACACAAGGGGGACGCTGGAATTCCAGCTGCTCCCTGCAAGGACGAGGAATTGTGCCATGGCAAGAGCTCCAGGAGCCCAAATCCTGTGCTTCCCGGAGTTAAAAAAGCTTTTCCAGTGGCAAAATCCACCAGAACTGCTTCCAAACCACTCCCAAACCCATCCCAGGACACGAGGGGAGTGCTGGAATTCCAGCTGTTCCCTGCAAGGATGAGGAATTCTGTGCCACGACAAGAGCTCCAGGGATTCCTCACACAACTCCTTGTGCTTCCTGGAGCTAAAAAAGAGCTTTTCCAGTGGCAAAACCCACCCAAAACCGCTTCCAAACCACTCCCAAACCCATCCCAGGACACGAGGGGTCCATACCATTGATCACCTCCTGTCTCTCCACCTCCCGGGGGGGCAGGTTGGCCACCAGCTCCCTGCTCACCGTGTGCTGCCAGTTCTGGGGGTCCAGCTCGGGCTCCAGGTCCCAGAGCTGGCCCTGCTCGTCCTCCAGCAGGTGGGGCAGGAAGGAATCCACCCCAAAGCCCAGGCTGGGGGACTCGATGCTCCTGGGAAAAGGGGGGGGAAAACAGCCAGGGATCCTGGGTTTGGTTGGAATTTGGAGCCTTCGAGGAGCACACGAGGCTCTGACTCTGGACCTAAAAGACTATGGCCCACCCTCAGGAGATGTTTATAAAGGTCCTGCTTAACCCAAGGGAAAAGGAGCCCCCTCATCCCACCCAGGAGGATGGAAAACTCATGGGAATTCTCTGTCTCTCCCATTGGAGCAATCCCAGCACAGCCAGGGCTGGTTTGGGCTGGAATTTGGAGCTTTCGAGGAGCACACGAGGCTCTGACTCTGGACCCACTTCCCCCAGATGTTTATAAAGGTCCTGCTTAACCCAAGGGAAAAGGAGCCCCCTCACCCCACCCAGGGGGATGGAAAACTCGTGGGAATTGCCTCCCAGGGAATCCAACCCCCTGTGGTCTCTCCAGCCTGGCTGGAAGGCAAGGAAAAGCTAAGGGAGCAAGGGATGGAGCCCCCAAAATAAGGGCACAGCCCTGGTGGGTTCCTATGGAGACATTCCTGCTCTGAGGGAAAACCTGGAGCAATCCTGGATGGTTTGGGAGAGACAAGGGGGGGGGGTGTCACTCACCTGCGGCCCATCTTTGGGGTGAAGGGGGGGGTGGGATTTTCCAGAGACCTGGAGAGGGATGGGAGAGTCACCTTTGTGTCCCAAAATCCCACCCTTCTCCTTTGGGATGGGAGAGTCACCTCTGTGTCCCAAAATCCCACCCTTCCACCGGCAGTGTCTCCTCAAGACCCTCCAGACATTTGGGGCAGGAATGGGAATGAAAGCCCAATTCCCTGGGTTTTTTTTCCCCATGGAAAATACCCAGGAGGTTCTGCAGGAGCTGCAGGGGATGGAACCACCTCACCCTGCACGCCCGGGCTTGGCTTTTAACCCCCAGGATTCCCCAAAGCTTTCCCAGGAGAAGGGGCTTCCCAAAACATTCCCTGACCCCAAAGGGTTCATCTTCCCGCCCCCTCCGGCGTTCCCAGCTCAATCCCTGGATCCAACCCTTCCCAGGGGAGCCCTGGAGGTGGATTTCCCCACCTGGTGGACAGGCTGGATGCAGAGGATGAGGCCGACTGGTGCAGCCTGGTGGCCTCGGCGGCCGCGTCCATGTCCACGTCGCTCCGGGACCGGGGAACGTTCTCGGCTTTCCGGGATTTCTTCATCTCCTCCCGGCCCTTCAGGCTCTCGGAGCGGCCCAGCTTGACCTCAGCACGGGAGCTGGAGCAGGGAACAAAGCCCGGGAGGAGGCTGAGCCTGCTGGGAATGTCCCTGCAGGACGTGGAGGGGACACCCAGGAGGAGCCGGGCGGGAATCTCGAGAGGGGTTTTTTTTGGGATGAGCGAAGGGAGAAGGGCTGGGCTGATCCCCCAGCGTGGGCAGCAGGGCAAGGGGGGGATTCTGGGATAGTGGGAAGGTGTCCAGGCCATGGCAGGGGGTGGCACTGGATTTTTAAGGTCCTTCCCACCCAAACCATTCCCAGGATTCCATGAAAAGCTGGATCCTCTTCGTGCTGCCAGAACGGCACCAAGAGCTGCTCCACAGGTGGAATGAGATCATCTTGAAGACCCTCCCAACCCAAACCATTCCAGCATTCCAAGTGCTGCTTTAGGTGGGATATTAGGGATAAACTCCTCCCCCTGTGAGGAGTGGCCAAGGCCCCGATCTTCCATGGAATTTGAGGATTGGAGATTCCAACCCACACCAAAACTGGGAGTGCTCAGGGCCAAGTCGGAGCCTCCTGGTCTAGTGGGAGGTGTCCCTGGATGATCACTGAGATTCCTTCCAGCCTGAACCATTCCACGATTCCATGAAACCCACCATGGGATGCCCAAAATCCCAGGCTGGCCCCACCTGTCTGATTCCAGCAGATCCTCTGGGAAGCTCCCTGTGGAGAGGCGTTGGGTGCCGGGCTCCTGGCTCTCGTAATGCTGATTGTTCTCAAAGTGCTGGATAATATTCCTCACATTCCCGGGTTTGACTGCTGGGACAAAAAAGCAGGGAAAATCCCCCCACACACAGTGAGCTCAGGATGGGGGAACAGCACCCAGGGCACGTCCAGGAAGCCCTCCCAGCTCCCCTGGGGATGCTGGAATTCCTGGGATGCTGAGTGGGAAAAGCCATCCCTGCTTCCCAGAGCCCCATCCCGACATCCAGGGAATGTTTTCAAGGGAGCGCAGGGGGGGGAAAGTGGGGCACGAAATCAAACTTATAAGCACATGAGGTGAATGGCAAAACCAAAAGAAGAGGCGTTTTTACCTTCGACAGGGGACAAAGGGACATGAAATGCTGGAAGGAAGAACAAAAATGAGGCGTCAAATCGATGCCAGAGGTGACAAATCAACCCCGAATTCCAGCAGCCAAGGAGGGAATGAGGGGAGTGGGAGAGGTGGAAACACGGGAACTCCAAGCTGGAGGGGAGGGAGGAGAGCAGGGACACACACATTCAGTTGTCACCACGTTGCCACCCCTGGATTGTAGCACTTTGGGGACACCTCGGAGCCTGCGGGGTGGGGAATGTCGGAGGAATCCAGGAGACTGGGATTCATTCACCCAGGGGAGGTCTGGGTGGGGTATTGGGAAAAGGTTCTTCATCCAGAGGGTGGTCGGGGGCTGGAACAGGGTTTTGGAGAGGGACTTTTCCCAAGGAGTCACAGGACAAGGGGGATTGGGGGAGGTTTGGGTGGGATATCAGGGATAAATTCTTCCCTGTGAGGGTGGGTGGGGAGGCCCTGGTTTTCCAGGGATTCCCCGTCCCTGGAAGTGTCCAAGGCCAGGTTGGAACAACCTGTTCTAGTGGGAGGTGTCCCTGCCCATGGGACTGGATGAGCTTTAACGTCCCTTCCAACCCCAATTCCATGATTTCCCAGGGAATTGGTCACAGCTCCAACTCTACCAGAGCTCCAGGAGAGTGGGACAACACTGCCAGGGACAGGGTGGGATTGTCAGGGCCAGGACTGGACCTGGATCCTCGTGTGTCCCTTCCCACTCAGGATATTCCATGATTCCATGAGAGCTCCCTTCCCACTCCCCCCACAAAAGCCAGGTGGAAACACGGATGGGTGAAGGGATGGTTTCCAAGGAGGGGGATGGAATTCCAGGAGGGGTTCCCAAGGCATTCCCAGGAAGCTGCAGCGGGCTCAGCACCTCGGGAAGGGCCCAGGACACTCACTGCTCTGGGAGGAGATTTTGGGCTTCCCGATGTACTTGAGGATGGGGTTGCGCTTCTTGTCTTCCAGGGCATCCTTGTCCTTCTTGGAGCTGCTGCTCTGTTGGGACACCCAGGAGGGTGAAACACGGAGAGAAACATCCCTACAGGAGCCCCGGGGGGGTCCCAGCATTCCCTGAGCGGGAATGAGCCACTGGAGAAGGGATGGGGCCGGGGTTTGGGGTTCTACAGGGGTGGGGGGAGATGGGGATCTCTGGAGAG